AAGCTTCAGCAACCCGCCTGCTCGACCTGGCTGCGTGGGCCCGCCTTCCCGATCCGCCCGTTGCGGTCTACCCGCCCGATCTGCCCGTCTGTTTGTCCCTTCCTTCCACCCGTCCTCTCTTCCCGTGTCTTAGGAGCTGCACGATTTACACGCTGCAGGTAAGAAAGGTGTATACCCCCAAGGGGGCACGATCGAAGACGAAGAGGGCGGGTATCGAGGGTTTGGGGAAAACGTGCTGAATGGCTCACGGGCAGGTCAGAACGAACAGCCTTAAAATGTGTTGGTGTGGTTGTTGTTGTTGTTGTTGAACATTATTACTTCTAAAGAATAATTATTGTTGGGACCCCTGGTGCACGACCCCCCCGCCGCGCCTAGGCCGCAGCCACATTTTCATCATTTTCGTGAGGAAGTCTCAGGCAAAACGGGTTGGTCCGGATCCGGTTGTTTTGTTACGGCCCGCTTTCCCTGGCAATAAATTAGCTAAAGTGGACATTTCTTGTTCTAACATAACCAAACTTCAAGAATCCCTTGCAAAAATAAGGTAAAGTGGACATTCGCGCGCGCAAGACGAAATCCTTCCAAAACCTTAGTTTTCGTAGCGATTTTAACATAAAAAAACATAAAAAAAAACAACCAATGTTTTTTTTTATTAAAACAAAAAAAAACTGGTCAAAAATTCATCCCGCGCGCTCTTGCGCATTCGTAGGAAACCCAACACTTTTTAAACATTTCTGTCAAACGGGCTTTTGCGAGCAACTTTTTCGAACTTCTGCAACAACGGTTGCGCACCTGCCAGGGCCATCATCCCTGTCAAATAATACCATGCGGGACACATTCGTTTTTTCTTCGCGCGCGCACGCCGTCGTCGTCGGCCGCGGGGCCCTGAATAGTAGCCACGGTCGTCCGCATGCCACGAAGTGAAGTGTCCGAACGTCATAGGGCGGGAAGCTGGGTGTGGGTGGTGGCGAAGAGTCGTTTGGAAATTTGGTAGAGCTTGAACCGGCCCCCCCACAAAGTGGGGGTATTGCCCGCCTCCTATGAAAACCCTGGCACTGGTGAGAACGGAGTGTCCCCACGTGCTAGTAATTGTTGTTGAACATTATTATTCTAAAGAATAATTATTGTTGGGACCCCTGGTGCACGGCCCCCCCGCGCCGCCTAGGCCGCAGCTACATTTTCATCATTTTCGTGAGGAAGCTTCAGAAAAGTGATGTCCAGATCCGGTTGTTTTGTTGTAATCCGTTTTCCCTTGCAAAAAACACTATAAAATGACATTTCTTGTTCTAATATAATCAAATTTCAAGAATCCCTTGCAAAAAATAAGGTAAAGTGGACATTCGCGCGCGCAAGACGAAATCCTTCCAAAAGCTTAGTGTTCGGAGCGATTTTAACATAAAAACATCAAAAAACCAATGGTTTTTCAACAAAAAAATGTCAAAATCTCATCCCGCGCGCTCTTGCGGATTCGTAGGAAACCCAACACTTTTTAAACATTTCTGTCAAACGGGCTTTTGCGAGCAACTTTTTCGAACTTCTGCGACAACGGTTGCGCACCTGCCAGGGCCATCATCCCTGTCAAATAATACCATGCGGGACACATTCGTTTTTTCTTCGCGCGCGCACGCCGAAATCTCCAAAAACCATTGGGTTCTTAAGAATTTTAGCACCGCGCATCATAAAATCACACGAATCGCACCGTAGGTCCTCGAAAAACACCTGCACGACTTTTCAAAATTTCCACCCGCGCGCGCTGTCCGAATCCTAAAAAAACCAATGGTTTTCCAACATTTATGTTACATGAGCTCGCGCGAGCTACTTTCGCACGCTCTTGCAACGGGGTTCGCGCGCCTGCCAGGGGCCATAATCCCTTGCGGTTGCGCCATAGGTTGCGCCCTCGGCCGCCGAGAATAAAACGCCCCCCTATTGGTTGCGCCATAGGTTGCGCCCTCGGCCGCCGAGAATAAAACGTCCCCCTACTGGTTGCGCCATAGGTTGCCCCAGGAGGCCTTCAAGAGGCCCCAAGAGCCCGCCGTGAGGACCCAATAAGCCCCCAAGAGGCCCCAAGATGCTTCCAAGAAGCCCCCCAAAGCCCCTCAAGAGGACCCCAAGCGGCGCCAGGAGGCTTCCCCCCTTCCCCAAGAGGACCCCAAGCGGCCCCAGGAAGCCTCCGACTGATCACTGTCACATCCGTAGCCATCTCGGATCAAGGTATCGCCTGTGTTCTTGGATGGGTCATGGCTTTGTCGGCGGAAGCCCAAAAATGTGACCAACTCCGCTCTCTCTGTCTCTCTCTCTGTCTGCTCTCTGTCTCTCTCTCTCTGTCTCTCTGTATTATGTATTGTATGGCACAATTGCACCATGCTGGGCACATGCGCGCCCCGAATAAGTGACCAAGTTCTGTGGGTGTGTACCCCACGCCAGTGTAGTAGCCACGGTCGTCCGCACGCCACGAAGTGAAGTGTCCCAACGTCATAGGGCGGGAAGCTGGGTTTGGGTGGTCGCGAAGAGTCGTTTGGATATTTGGTAGAGCTTGTAATACCCCCCCACGAAGTGGGGGTATTGCCTGGTGTCGTATGAAAACCCTGGCACTGGGGAGAACACCACGCGTTCGGGTAAAATGATTGTTGTTGTTGTTGTTGTTGCACGTATTGTTGTTATACTAATTTGCGTTGCTGTTGTCGTCGTCCCCCCCGCAAGCGGGCCCGCGACCCGCCCGCGACCCACCCGGAAACCACCCGCCACTCATCCGCGACCCACCCGCGACCCACCCGCGACCCACCCGCGACCCACCCGCGACTCACCCGCGACCCACCCGCGACCCACCCGCGACCTACCCGCGACCCACCCGCGACCCACCCGACGATCCACCCGCGACCCACCGGTGACCCTTCCGCGACCCACTCGCGACCCACCCGCATTGCTTTAACGGAGAAGTCGGCGCCAGCGGCGGGCTCGTTTCATAATTTGTTTACATCAGGCGCTCGCGGCGGGCTTCGTCAGAGCCTCGCAGATTGCCGACGTCCCCGCCGACCCCTCTTCCGCAACTGCGGGGTGTTACGGGCAAACAATTACTGCTCGGCGCACACGCATACGACCCAACCTGGACCGTTCTATGCAAACACGTTGGCTCGCGCACGCCAATCCGACCACGCGCTAACTTTTTCTGTAGCATATACGATGCGGTGCATATCCACACGGCCCAACCTTCATCACCCCATGTAGCGACAGACAGTCTGTGCACAGCCATCCCACCAAACCTTCGCAATCCGATCCGATGTTTTACGTGGCGTTCGGCGCGCATCTTCTGATCTGGAACGTCGACCCACCCCTTGGCCCCGAAGAGGCCGTAGGCACCAAAGGCAGATATGCAACAATACATCGCTTGCAAATGCACAACGTATTTTTGCGTTTCGGGCACCCCTCGCCGACTCCGATTTGGAACCATGCAGCTCCAGGCGCTTCCAAAGGCTCCAATACGCTCATTGGCGCCCCCGAGCTCCACAATCTCCCCCAAGCGTTCCCAGGCTCGCTGTCGCCACCAGCAGCAACAGCATCCACACCCTCATCTTCATCGTTCCCGTCGCCGCAGGAGGCCCCAAGGAGCAAACGAGTTCAGATGGCGTTGGCGCGTGGAGCATGAAACAAGGGTTTTCGCAAGGAGCTCTCGCTCTGCTGGCGCCGCATACCATCGCCATTCGCAGCCAAAGAACGGACAGAGGGCTCGTCGTTTTCAAAAAAGGGTTTTCGCCCTAACGCCGTGCATGCTCGGCATCAAGATTATCCATCGCTGCGCGGGTGGATGGCGAGTCTTTCCCAAAACAGTGGGGGCAGTGGACAAGGAAGAATGAAAGGCCTGTAAGCTGATGGGGTTCCAATCGTGGGTCGGCCATGAGTAGCAGCGCCGCACTCACCAGGTCAGGATTTCTCTAGGGTCAGCAGCCCCCTGGGCACATTTCTTTATGAGCGCCCCCACCTCGTTGGAGTCTCCCCTTGGCCTCGCGGGCATTCGGGCACATATCAGCATCAACGTCCATTTGACCCTTCCTCGACCTCTACGAGCCGGCGATCCATGGTGTGCTACAGTTAATTCGGGTGAAGGGCGGATCCTCCTCGGAAGCGGGGCTATCGCGTGAGACTTCCGCGACGCATGCGTCCACGAATTTGACATCCTGCAACGTTGAGACGGATGGAAGGCATGTGCCCTTCAAAATGGGGCTACCCTGCGCGCCCTCCAATTGGAGGGAGGGGTCATTCAAGGGTGGGCGTGCGCAGTGGGAAGGAACACTGGTATGGACGCATGAGGAGGGGAGTTGGTTCGGGAACGGTGTTGCAGCATGGGTTGATGCATCTTGGGTTTACTCTGGTGCGCCTCCTCCTTCTCCGCTTCCTCCTCCTCCTCCTCCTCCTCCTCCTCCTCCTCCTCTTCCTCTTCAAAGTGATATCATCCTTCTGCGCGTCTACTGTTCTCTCGCATCCTCTGGGCGCTACCATGCGCTCGAGTTTCGGAGCCTTCTCGCGCAATTGTCTTCAGGGGGTCCAGCGGAGGGATGACACGGTGCCCCCTCCCCCCCCGAGGTTCCTGGAGCTTCGCATGAGGTCCCCTGGGGCGCACGCAGGCCCCGGGAGTCCAAGCGTGGCGCCCGAAGGCTTCGATGTCCCCCCCCGGGCCGACCGATTGGGCGTTCGCCCGCTCTCTGCGTGCCTGTCGGTCTGGGCGGTTTGGGCTTCGGGTCCCCGTCCTGTCGGGGGTCGCCTCCTCGCTGTAGTCCTCCCCCTGAGCCGCTCCAGCCCTCGTTTTCCTTCGTTTCTTCGTTTCCGAGGTCCGGACGTTTCCCAAGACACCTCCAGCAACATTTGGGGAACGTGGGTACCTCTGCAAAACAATCGAGGGGAGACGTTTCGAAGCCGTTGAAGGTCTCCCTGTCTTGCTCCTCTCTTCTCTCTCTTCCTCTCTTCTCCACTCTCCTCCTCGTAATTCCCCCTCTCTTGCGCGATTGTCCTTTCGGCTCACAGCACTCTTCGCAAGCGAAGCATGCAGATGGGGATAAGGTGATAGCCGGCAGCGAAGGCGGCGCGCGGCATGATGAGGAATGTGTCGATGAGTATGAGGGCCAGCAAGGGCTTGGAGGAGGAGGAAGAGGACGACGACGACGATCAGGATACTGAAGAGGAGTAGAACTAGGAATGATAGTTGGAGGAGGAGGAGCAGGAGAAGGAGGGGGCGAGGAGGAGGAGGAGCACGAGGAGGAGGAGGAGGAGCAGGAGGAGACCGAGGAAGAGTAGGAGGAGGGACTGGTGGATGGCGTAGGAAGTCTCGAGAAGCTTTGTCCGCGAGGTTTTTGGGGGCGCGACAGTCCAGGATGGGCATGCCGCGGGCCGTGCTGATTATGAGGGTCGTCGAGCGGTTTTCAGTGCGTGGGAAAGACTGCGGAGGCCTTGGTCGGCTGATCACAGGCTTCGGGGAACTTGCGCGCATACGAATCATCCGCTTGGATCGCCCACTGATCACAGACCAACCGACCCCGCCGTCCCCACTCGCGGTGCGCTTGCCTGCCCGCTCCCTCTCCTGCTCCCCCTTCCTCCTCTTCCTCCCTCACCTTTACCTCCTCAAGAGAGGGAGGTCGAATAGGCGGGAGAAAGGAGGAGGCGACGGTGGGGGAGGAGGAGAAGGAGGAGGAGAAGGAGGAGGATGTACCCTATGTGGAGACGGGAGGTGGTATCCCGCTTTCCTGCCGCTACTTTTGCCAATATCGCGGTGGATTCACAACGCAATGATGACGGTGAGGGTGATGATGTTGCTGGCGCTGGTGATGACGATGATACTGTTCATGCTTATGGCTCGTTTGCTACTTACAAAACTGGTGCGACTCACGGTCGTGATGGTATCAACAATGAATGCAATTGTCTTGATGATGTTGCTGAATCCGATCGTGTCCATGACGACGGTGATGATATTGATGACGACGACGCCAGTGACAATGACGACGATGCCGGTGCTGCTACCAATCATGGTGGTACTGAGTATGATTTTGCTACTGATGACTTTCAGATGACGATGTCGATGACGATACCGACGATGCTGACGAGGTGTCGACGACTACGACGACGATGATGCTGATGATGATGCTGATGATGATGGTGGTGATGATGATGGTGATGATGTCGCTGGTGATGTTGATGGTGGTGCTCTTACTGATGATTGTTATCTTGCCGACGGTGATGATGATGCTGATGATGAGCATGATGATGCTGATGATGCTGATGATGCTGCTGCTGCTGATGATGATGATGATCATGGGGATGATCATGGGGATGATGGTGGTGGCGGCCACGATGAGGGTGGTGGTGATACTGATACTGGTGATGGTGATGGTGATGGTGATGGTGACGATGTTGCTGATGATGTTGTTGTTGATAATGATGATGATGATGATGATGATGATGATGATGATGATGATGATGATGATGATGATGATGATGATGATGATGATGATGATGATGATGATGATGATGGTGATGATGGTGATGGTGATGGTGATGGTGATGGTGATGTGATGATGATGATGATGCTGCTGATGATGATGAATGGCAAGGAGGAGGAGGAGGTGGAGGAGGAGGAGGAGGAGGAGGAGTTCGGTTCGCCTGACCCGGCTAGCCTTCCCTCGCACCGCGCTGCTGGCACTGGCCGTGTGGCGTTGAACCTGGCTTGCAGCTAGGAGATGTTGACGGTCAAAGCGCTCTGAAACAGGACTCGCTGTCGTCGGGTGCTCCATGACGTCGAGCCAGAATGGCTCAGGATGTTGTTACTCATGGAGGAGGAGGAGGAGGAGGAGGAGGAGGAGGAGGAGGAGGAGGAGGAGAGGTCGGGCTGGCGAGCTAGGTACTATCGTGTCCTTCGTGGTGGCGGCGCGGAGCGGCAGCCAGGACAAGTGTTAAGGACGTCCTTCCTCAGTGCCGATGTCTTTCCGTGTCCTTGTCTATGTCTTGTCCGTCTTTCTGTCAGCTCGCCCGCCCGTGTGTCCATGTGCCTGCATGCGCTTGCGCGCCTGTCGGTCCAGGCTGCGTGTTCGTCCATCGTTCTGCTGGCTTGCTCATTCGTTTGCCGTGCCGTTCTCATCGACGGCTGTCCGAACCCAGTGGCTGGGACGCTTGTTCATCCGCTCCGCCGTTCGTGCGTTCGTCGGCCTGTTTTTCGATTGCTCGTGCGCACGTGGTCTTGACTTCCTCCTTCCTCCTGCCCTCCCTCCACTCTCCCCTCGCTCCCTCTCTATCTCCTCTCTTTGTCTCTCTCTCTCTCTCTACTGACTCCTCGCCCCTCGCCTGTCCGCCTCCCCCTTCCCTCTTCCTCCTTCCTCGCTTTTCCCTTCTCCCCACTCCCTCTTCCCTTCTCGCTCCTCACTCTCGCTCCTCCCTTGCTCTTCGTCCTGCCTCCTCCCTCCTCGCTCCTTTATCCCTGAGCGACCTTCGCTTGTACACATGCAAATGCGACTCTCCGTTCTTCCATAGGGCTGTTTTTGTATCCCGGCTATGCGGTATATTGTTTGCTCACGGAGGACTGTTTCTGGTTGGCTTTCGATATCGTTGTCTCAGTGAAAGCGACCTTGGCCTTTCAGACGTGTTATTCCCGCTGCATCGCTTGTTGATGATCTTTGCCTCCAACGTTCGGAACGACGCTCTGGCCGTAGTGTTAGCCTTCCTCTTGCATTGGTGGAAGTTGTGCTCTGGCTGTCGGCATTGCCACATTCACGAATTTCCGTAGATCGTCAGTCCACGAGAGCGACGCACCCGTCTCAGTGTCGGCCGTTCTCTGCATAAGCGACAGGTGCTCTCGCTGCGTTTGGTATCAATAGAGTCTGCGTCCAACCGAAAGGCGCTCTCGCCTTCTGATACCCGCGTCCTCCTCCTGGAGGATGTAGAAGAGTTTTTTGAAAAGTGCAGTCAACCGTAGCAAAACAGTCTTCGGGCCGCCGCGCTGAGGAGTCTCAGCAAAGTGTCGCGGCGCGACTGTCGGGGGGGAAAAGAGCGATGGCTATTCCGAAAGGTTTCGGCACGGCCAGGTCGCGAGCACAACGGGGGTCCTCCCCCAGACCTGAAACGCGACGTTGGGGCCTGCACGCGTTTGTCGCGCGCCGCCCAACCATCGCGCTGCAAACAAACCGACGCACATGCGCCAAACGCGAAAACTTGCGCGAGGGAGACTGGCCTCCAACCCGCGTCTGCACTTGAACCGCAGGCGGAGCACTTTTGAACCAAACGGCAGTGAGCAACAATTGCCACGGCTGCAACGGCAGAAGGAGGAGGGGGGTGGGGGAGAAAGGAGGAGGGCAGGAGGAGCGGCAAGGCGAGGATGGGGGAGGATCAGTGGGGGGAGGGACTGGGGAGATAGAAAGGGTGAGGAAGAGGTGGGGCGGCGGGGAGGAGGGATGGGGAGGGGAGGGGGCCACGAGGAGCTGGGGGAGACAAGGCACGAGGCGGGGTGGAGGAGGAGAGGGCGCAAGCACCGGGAAGGGGGCGGATGGGGGCGACGACGGGCGTGGCAGCGGGTGTACACCGGCGGTGTGGTGTGTGCCACCGTTGTGGTGCACGCAGGCAGCGTGGTGTACACGGGCGCTGTGACGCACACGGCTGCTGCAGTTTACGCGGGCACTGCTTGTGTACATGGGCGACGTGGTGCTGCGGTGCACGCGTCTGCTGTGGCGTACGGGGGCTTTGTGGTGTACGCACTCGGCGCTGTGTTGCACGCAGGCATTATTGGGCCTTGTCGTGTGCGCAAGCATTGTGGCTCACGCAGGCGATTGGTGCGCTGGTGGCGCGGACGCACCCTGGCGGGTGCACGCCGCGGCCGCCGTTACCGTTATTTTCCCGCCCGACCCCCCCCCCCCTACCCCTGGGTAGCGTTACCTGGGAAGGAAAAGAAGCGCTCACCAAAACGCCAATCGTACCGCACGAATCGGTGTTTTGCGTCGTTTACGCAGTAGTGTATCGCTTGTTATAAGGTCCCTGCGCGTTTGCGCCCACATCGTGGTCGCTTTCTACTTGCACCAGTTATGCTGTCAATTACGTTATTTGTTAACTTGGCTTGCAAGGGTGGAGTCGTGGCTTCGCTTCACGGCACATTTATTTTACATCCACCCGTTGCCCAGTCACTTGTGCTGTTTATGTCTCTCCCGTCTCCAGATTCGGCTTATCAGCCGAGGGGGGTGTTAGATCTGAACGTTCCGAGTGGGTGAGCAAGTGTATAGTTGTGAATAGTTGTAGTGGAGAGCACAGTGCACATGTCGTGGACTTGGTGCGTGAGCTTCGGGACGGGTGATGGTCCGCACCCATGTGGCTCAAGTTCGTTTGGCCTGCATGGAAAGAGGCTCCTATCATTTTGTCAGGGAGGAGGAAATGGGGGGGGAGGAGGGCGTTGGAACGCCTCTGTCGCCCGCCGGGGCTCCCGAAGGCCCCTTCCAAGGGGGGGTGTCTGACGGATTTCGTTGAGCCTGCGCCCGTCCACCTCGGCTCCCGCAGAAGACGTGCCGTTGCGGGGGAGGGCGAGGGACAAGAGGCAATTTCAGTGCACTCGCGCCAGATTTGGCGTCCTACCCTTCCTTCTCGTCCCTTCCATTGCGATGATACCCTCAGATCACAAAGTCGGGTGTCGGGAAAGACCTTCATCCCGAACGGGCGACATCATCAACAAAAGCCGTTCCCCAAGGAATCAAGAACACCATTGCGGCAGTTGCGGCGATAGCGCCGCTTCCATTTGACAAGGTATCCCCAATAAATACGGAATAACCATCAAGACGCACCAGCGGGAACAACATCATCATTACCCAGTTGATCATGCACTATTGAACGTGCTAGAGACAGCACCCCTTACCAAAACCAGAAGCTACTCGTCCAGTCCCGACAAACATTTGTGAACGGCAAACTGAACCCATCTTTCGTCCAATCACACCGTGGATACTATATACGTTTATATGCGGGTGTGTATGCATGCATGTCTGTAATGTAATGTCTGTATGTGATGCAGTGTAATGCAATGCAGTGTTGTGTAATGCATTGCCACACACGTACATATATGCATGTGTTTATGTATATGTACATGCACATGTATATGTATATTAGATGTATAGGTATTCGTATATGTATACGACATGTATGTGTATGTATACATGTATCGGTATATGTATACTGTTTTGTACATGCATAGGGATATATACACACACATATATATATATATATATATATATATATATATATCCCTGGGGGCGAGGCCAGGGAACCCAGGACAGGTGTCTCCACCCCCCATGGCGTGACGGGGGGTGGCTGGAGCCTCCCTGGAGCAGCCCAGGCGGCCCAAAAGAGCCCCAAGAGCGCTCCACGGCAGGCCCAGCAGGCTCCAAGAGGCCCAGGAGGGCGCCAAGACGGCCCCAAGATGCCCAAGACAAGCCCAAGACGGCCAAAGAGGCCCCCGAGAGGCCTCCAAGAGGCCCCCCCAGAGGGCCCCAAGAGGCCAAATTCTTTAATTTTACGATGGTTTTGGACACATTTGTCTTTCCCGCCTTTTCAGCTTACCGACGCTCCACGACGGCTCAAAGGCCACCCGCGGACGCCCCACGACGGCCCAAGAGGCCTCCAAGAGGGCCTCAAGACGGCTCTTGAGGGCCCCAAGGCGGCCCAAGACGCGCCCAAGACGGGCGAAGAGAGGCCCAAGACGGCTCCAAGAGGGCCCCAAGAGGGGAACCGCGAACCGGAAATTCGAGCCTCCCGCCTCCACAGGGCCCCGGGAGGCCCCAAAGGGGCCCCAAGAGGCCCCAGGAGACCCCCAAGATAAGCCCAAGACGGCCAAAGAGGCCCCCAAGACGCTCCAAGAGGCCTCCAAGAGGCCCCCCCAGAGGGCCCCAAGAGGCCAAATTCGTTAATTTTACGATGGTTTTGGACACATTTGTCTTTCCCGCCTTTTCAGCTTTCCGACGCTCCACGACGGCTCACAGGCCCCCCGCGGACGCCCCAAGAAAGCCCAAGAGGCCTCCAAGAGGGCCTCAAGACGGCTCTGGAGGGACGACCCAAGACGCGCCCAAGACGGGCGAAGAGAGGCCCAAGACGGTCCCAAGGGGGGCCCCAAGTTGGGAACCGCGAGCCGGAAATTCGAGCCTCCCGCCTCCACAGGGCCCCGGGAGGCCCCAAAGGGGCCCCAAGAGGCCCCAGGAGACCCCCAAGAGGCACCCAGCTGGCCCAGGAGGCCCAAACGAGACCCCCAAGAGGCTCCCAAACAGCCCCGAGGAACCTCACAACGGACGGTGCGGACGAGCCGCACTTCGGACCGCCGCCGCCGCCGGTCCAAGAAAACGGCCTCTTGGACGCCGTGCGCGCCGTGGCCCTCCTGCGGTGGCACCTCCCGCCCTGGGCCAGCGCAGAGGTCCTCGGATCCCAGAGAGAATTCTCCGTCGTCGGCGGTGTCGCCGTCGTCGGCGTCGTCGTCGTCGACGCCGTCCCCGCTCCGGTCGCCCCTCGGGACCGCGCTCGCCCCATCGACTTCTCGGCTCGCCTCCCGCCGATGTTCTTGTCGCCCTTCGACTTTCGGAGGCTCCTCCCGGGGTCCTGGGTCCAGTGCTCCGGCCTCCTCCCTTCGGCGAGGCCGCGCCGGCTCGAGCCGCGTCGGCGAGACAGCTCCAAGATAGCCGAAGAGGCTTCCAAGAGGGCCCTGGGCGGCCCACGAGGGCCCCAAGGCGGTGCCTGAGGCGCCCAAGACGGCCCGAGAGGGCCCCAAGACGGCCCCAAGAGAGGCCCAAGAAGGGAAACGCGAACCGAGAATCCGAGCTTTCTACCCCGAGAGGTTCTCGGGAAGTCCCAAGAGGCCCCCAATCGGATCCAAGAGGCCCCCAAGAAGCTCCCAAGAGGGCCGACGAGGTTCCAAGAGATCTCCCCAGGTGGCCCCAAGAGGCACAACTC